CCCCCCGTTAAACAAAAGATGTATGGGGTAAGTGTTTTTAGCCAGCCCGCCTTTTCCCCCCCCCCCCCGGTCTCCGCCCCCTCCCCCCTCCCCCGCGCCGCACAAACCCACCCGCGCGCGCCCCCACCGTCGCTGCGCGTCGTGCTCCGCAGCCGTGGGGATCTGTGCTCTCTGCCGTGCTCGAGCGGCGGTCCCGCCGAGCCCCGCGCCCTTGCCGCCCGGCCGCGGCTGGAGAGGCTCAGCGCTGGAGCCTGATGCCGCGCTCCTCGCACACGGCCACCAGCTCAGGCTGCTTCTCGTTGTCCACGATGAGCGTCTGCACGCGAGGGGAGGTGCGATGGGCATTGGGCGGGGGAGGGGCGTGTGGCGAGGGTGGCGTCTCGCGCCTTCAAGCTCGGGGCGGCCCCCTCATTGAGGGCGGCGGCCAGCGCCTTGCAGCCCTCGTCGCCAATCTCGTTGCACCAGAGTTGGAGCGTCTCGAGCCGCGGCGCTGCCCCGCTCGCGAGGACCTCCGCCAGCTGCGCCGCCTCTGCGTCGCCCCAGCCGAGGACGGCGTAGTTCAGCTTGGTCGCCTTGCCAAACTGCTCCTCGAAGGCGGCCTCGTACAGCCGCTTCACCAGCGGCTTGTCGTCCTTGCCGTTGGTGAAGCTCTTGTTCTCCAGCTCCGCCGCGAACGCAGACGGCAGCAGCGGAGGGCGCCGGCCGCCGGCCTGGGTGCAGTCGCGGGTGAGGCTGCCGCAGTCGTACTCCACGCCGTCGCGCATCTTGCCGAGGTCGAGCGAGAGGTCGTAGTCCTTGGTAAGGCCAGCCCAGCTCTGCTCAGTAAAGCACCAGCCGCGGTCAAAGTACTTGGCCACGTTGGTGCCCTCGGCCTGGTCCTCCGCCTTGTGCCCGTCCGGGAAGGAGGTCAGCCGCAGCACCCAAGTGTACGGGTGGGAGTAGAGCGTGCCGAGGCAGCCCAGCCCCTGCTTGAAGAGCGCGTTCTCCTCCTCGGTGCGCATGACGCCGTTGGCAGGGTCGGGGTGCTGGTGCAGCGAGCCGAAGTCCCAAAAGACGCCGAGCCGCGATATGTACCGATTGCTGAGCAGGGCCTTGAGCGCCTTTGCGACGCGGGAGAGGTTGGCTCCGATCGGGTCGGGGT